TTTATCAAAATTTATTATATAATAATTATTAAATATTTTAATATTTTAAATATCAAAATATCGTAATTTTCTTTCCTTCTTATAATACATACAAAAATATTTTTTTTAATAACAGAGGCATTTTGAACTTTTTACCAAACTAATCTCTCATAGAGTGAGTTAATGTATCGGTTCAAATCAACGCAAGCTGTGCGCGCAGCTTATTATTCTATCCAAGTCCAGAGGAGACCAACGGAAACCATCACATGTTGAGAGGGGGAGGGGTGGGGTTTTGTTTAATTAATTAATTCAAGTCAATAGATAAGATAGGATTAAGGACTAAAGCAAGCGACAAATTAAGTTAAGGCTCCCCACGTGATTTGATGTGGATCGATGTGGCATCTGACTCGTTTCTTTCTTCATCCTACCTATGTACATGCTACCTAGCTAGCTAACTCCATCCATCCACCCATGGCAGTTTTTGTTGGAATCCAATCCCTTGGTTTTTTTTTTTTTCATCTTCCTTCCAAAAGATGCTTGATTGCTTGCTTTTCCATTAGCTCCTACCCTCCCACCAATTTTTTTTTCCAAAATAATAATAATAATAATAATACTATTTTAATTAACTTGAAAGCAAATCCACACCAAAAGTTAAATGAAATTATTTATTGTTAATCACAAGAATCTACATGAAGATAATGCTAAGGACCATATTATTTAACAAAAAGTCTTATGTTTTGTAATTTGAGTTGTTCTAGGTTATAAAACAATTTTTTTTTAATAAAATCACAACTTGTTAGCTTGAGACTAAAATTTTCATCTAAAAACTATTTAGATTAGGTTTTTTGATATAATTAATAGTTGATAATTAACATCTAACAACTAATAACAATAATTATTTATAGTTTAAAATATTTAACTTATTTAATTAAACCCAATAACTAATAAATGTTTTTAAATAGCCAAAATAAATACCCCTACTTTCATCAATTATGTAAGGGCAATGTTTGTGTTTTATATTAAGTTCCACTTTCACCTTCCATATATGGATTTATTTATTAAATTGAGATTTTTTTGGCAAAAATATGATATAAGGACCCAAACTTGCACAAAATTCATAATTTTAGACCCAAACTTCAATTATGCTCAATTAAGGTCCCCAACTACATGGAATTTTCAAATAAGGTCCCAATTGAATGAAATATTCTCTTTTATGGATGGAATATTCTTTTGGCTGCAAGTATCTTCATGCTCGGTTAATAGTCTTAATTGTCCATCACTCTATCAACCAACTAGATCGTTACTTGGAAAAACATGATAACTTGTCATTGCCACGTGGATGCCACATGGATGTCACGTGATGACAAGGTAGGTCCCCAATTGATTTTGAGGGAAATCATGCTAAGGAGAATCCATGTGGTGCCACGTGTCATCCATGTGGCAATGACACGTCAATATGTTTTCCATGTTGGCAATCCAGTTGACTGAATAGTTAATGGCATCCAAGACAT